CCTGGACATTGAAATATATTCCTTTGAATAGCCTCATAAATAAATTTCTGTCTGAAGTTCTATTTCTGACCTAAACCACTGGATTTTTCACTTTAAATTTTCAGGTATACTCTGAAATACATACTTTTGCAGGTGACTTAACGCTGCAGAAAACCTCAGCTTGCTTTCAGGTCTTTTGACTTACCTGCCTAAAACAAATATCCATTTCCAAAGACAAAGGCATTCAACCTCCTGGGACCATCTCATTATAAGCTCCAGGAACAATAGCAACACAAAACCTTTAAAGGGAGGATTTTACTCTTTTGGCTATTAAGTCAAGAATATCAGGGTGTTACAGACCTCTGAAAACAATAAAGCCTTTTCTCCAAACCATAATTACCCGTTTACCTTGGCTGGTGTCCTTTGATTAAAAAATTCTCCTTCCCTTAATCTTTGTCTGACTTTTCTCTCTCTGTATGGATGATGTAGTCTCCTTCTCAGGAAGGTACCGCCCATTATTTCTTTTAACCTTTTCTGTGGGAAGGTTCTCTTCTCTCAGCTGTGGGAATCCTGGGCTCCAGCCTTCCTTCTCACCCCCTAGACAGCTATGCACTTATCAATTAGACTTAGAGGGCATGATTCAAATCCAATAGTACTACCAAAATGAAGTCTTGTATTTCAGTAAACAAGAAATCTTTCCATGTTCATGTTTAAAACCCCATTCATTTTAATACAAATTCAGTTAGCACCTGCAAAAAAGCCCTAAGTTTGTTATTATACGCAAGTACCTGCAGTCCTGTCACTTTCATACTACACAATGTCAAGAAGGGTTTGAAAAAATAAAAATAAAAAAAAAATCTGCTATGGTATGCAACATTTAAGTACATACAACCGATCAACTAAGCAGCTTAATTAACAGTTTCACACACACACAAAAAATGACTTCACATCACATGAGAGGGAAATTATCTGAAAGGCAGTAAGAAGATTTCCATTCACATTGCAAGTCCCACTGATGTGACCATACAGAGAAGACCTAGGAAAAAGTGGGATCCAAAATGCCAGAGACTGGTAGCTGTTATCCTCTGTAGTGATCCAAATGCAGTACTTCACTGTCTCTTCTCATAAAAGAAATTTCATATATTAGATAGAAGTCTTTATGTGATCCTAAATATACTAGCAAAATGCTTCCCTATCATGTGTGTTTGTCAAAATTATTTTTTCAGCAATACCACTGCAAATGTAGAATTAGGCTACTTTGCATATCTTGATCAATTTGCTAGTTATAGAAAATTTCTAGAAGCTCACATTCAACAGAATGACTATGCATATTACATACACAGTCTAAATTATAAAAAAAACCAAGCAAAACCTAAAAATGCAATTAAAAAAAATCAATTGAATTTTTAGCCAGTATGTTCTCCTACTGTAGGTTTATAATTTTTACTGACTCCTTGTAATTTCACCCACACCTCATCTAAGTATTAGCAACAAAAGAAGCCTAATTTCTACTAGTATCTAATTCTCATTAATGTAAATTCTGGGGTTTTTTCTATCAATTCAACCTTTACTCCAGTTTTTATAATTAAGCAATGCAGCTTCACATGTCCTAAGCAATGTACAAGAGCTAGAAGAAATTCTAGGTTAAACATTCCTTAGGGAATCAGCCTTTCACCAGGCAGTACACAAACCATTAAACTTTAAGTCCCCTTTCTGCACCTTTCACATTCTTATTTCCAGTCAGGTACTCAAACAATAGCAAATCTGACTCATTTCTCCTCTCCTTCTGGATATGTAATACGTGGTCAGGAGAGGAATTGTTCAGTAGCTGAAGGAACAGACTTTTTAGAACACCCAAAATAGTAATATCACATACAACTTCACCTGCTACACAAAGGTGCTTTTCCTGTCAAAATCTGTCTCACTTCCTTTTGCCTGTAGATGGCCATTTCTGTTCTTACAATGACCACTCAGCCTGTAGCAGAACAGAAGCACAGGTATCTGTGCAACTCCATGATGAATTGCATTAGTAAACTGGTCTGGCTTATAAACAATTCACCAACCAAAACAGAATGTGATAAATCGAAGTACTTAACTCTCACCATGCAACGAACCAAGAATTTTGCTAGACTCTTGCACGGGATGGCACAGAATACAGAAGCTTCCAGAGACACAGGGAGTAAGAACTATTTATTTGGCAGCAGTTTTGGCTTATGTCAGTTGGATGCATATGTGAAATTGCAGTGTTGCTTCAGAACAGTGTCTAGAGTTCAAGTACAAAGTTGAACTCTTCAAAATTAAAGAACTGAGGTCAAATTTAATTTTCCACTCTAAAAAGTCACAGCAAACTAGCACAAAGCAAATCTCATCCCAGATATAACAAACTCACCAGTAATCAAGAAAAAGCACAAGGCTTTTTAAGAGGAAAAATATTACACATAGCTAATTCAAAAGATAATACAGGTGTATAAGAGTAGAGAACCAAACTGTTTTAATCAACCAAACATCGAAAATACTTTCCAACAGGTTTATAATTTCACTGTTGTAAAAGAAACTTGTGGAAATGCCCAAATTTAAAATTATCCATTTCTTTCCATTACATAACCCTATTCTAATCTTCTTTTAACTTGCCACACAAAAATCTGTCATGTCATTTGTTATCTCAAGCTGATGTTGTGAAAAGTATCAGATACAACCAGTCCAACTACCTAAAAAAAAATGAGGGAAAACAGTGTAGGTTTATTCACACTAAAAAGGCCCTGTAGTTCAGCTCTTTAATCATGCAATTTAATCATTACTTCCAAATTCTGGAGAAAGAATTCCTTTTATGTACTTGAGTGTGGTCTTCAAAGTAACAAAAGGGAGGTTACAACTAAGAAAAGGATATAGCTCAAAGTCTTAATTTAAAGTTAAATAAGCTGTACTTCTAAAATGTGTACTTCTAAAGCCCGCCTTGAAGGTTTTTCTCAGCAACATATGCTAGCAACTACTACAACTGAAATTACCAAGGAAGTTACTTGTGAAGAAGATTCCCATGGCTTCACCCAGGTCATTATTGCAAACAAAAACCAATATTAAATTACCATGAAGTAGTAAAAACATCACCATCTTTCAGTCAAAACAAGAAAGAAGTCCATGAACAGCAAGTAAGTGACAACCTATTAAAATCAACTTTCACATTAGGTCACATTTCCATTATCAAATTAGAATATTGTTTTACTTAACAAATACACTTCAGAAAAACTGGACAAACTCAGTTCTGGATGCTTCTGAAACTGCCACTGTCATGTGATTAGAGCTGAAGAATGAAAATCTGCATTTTCTCCAGTTTTTCAGACACCAAAAATAATTACACATGGTGTTAGACATCAAAAATGAAATCCTAAAGACTTTCCTTATAAAGCAAAACCTCATTTTAGCAAAGGAGGGGTTTTTTTTATAATTCACCTAATACAGCACCTTTCTATTTGTTTGTTTAAAAGGTAAATGTGACATTTCCCTGACAAATATTTTTTTCAGAATCGGTATTTCACTTTACTGTTTACTCATAACCACTTCTTCAGTAATTAATCCTAACCTTTTTTCTTTACATAGAACTTCTAACAACACACGTGTGTAGAGACACAGAATCATGATTTGTTAGGTCTACAAATGCACAACAAAAGATTGTCCTTACCTCACAACTTCTGAATGCTGAATGAATTGTATCTTAATTCCCCTGTATTTAACTGTTTGGGTTTTTTAAGATGGTATGATTAGAACTAAACATAGTATTCCTGCTGAAGTCATGCAACTTACTTACATAATGACATTATCAGATTTCAGTTTAAAGTGCAATTATGACATATTTAGCATTTGTCTACCCTTGAAGAGGTCCTGTTCCTACAGTTTTCTACCAGACTTAAAGATTCACGTACACTAAGATTATTGATCTGCTCTAGTAGCATTTCAATCTAATTTTTGGCTTTTTATCCTATTGCTGACATAGCCCTTCTCTTTACCTTCTTATAATAAAAGCAGTTTGCAATTTAGCAACTACAAAATAATTTCAAGATTAAGCTGGTATTATTCCTTTGCCTACATTAACAATTATTATGCTAATTGTCTACACTGACACTTGTCTTTAAGAATCCTAATTTATTTTGTCTCTCTTCTACCACAGCTCTCTCACCTTTTTAAATAACTTAAGAATATATTGATTCTTCAGGAGGCTATAAACTTTCATTTCAATTAAAAGCAGCCTGACTTCTAATATAGAAAAATCAACACTTCTAACTAGAAGAATAGAAATGCCACCATAGAAATGCCTACGAAAGGTTCAATAAACAGAATTGCAATGAAAAAAGTAGTAACAGCTCACTGTAGAGGGCTGTTTAAATGAATACTATTCATGTATTTAAACCCATCCATCATCTTAATAAGAATCACTGCCTCCTACAAAAGGTCAGACATGCTGGATTCTCTTATCTGTTACTCCTTGGAGGTTTTCAGTTGCACAGACTCAGTGATACAGTGTATATCAGTAAAATTTTATCTCAATCTGATATCAAAAGCGTGCTTTCTGGTACAAACTCCTTCAGTAAATATTAAACAAAGTAAATTCTAATAACACATGCAAAAAAGAGGAATTAAGAATTATAGCTCACTTGAAGTTCTGATCAACAATGCATAGGCAGATTTGAGAATTCTACCCTGTAATTATTTGTTGGTAAGAATTTGTCCTCAAGGGAAAACAGTCTCATGTTCAATGGAGATGAACTACTCATTCTAAGGTATTATCACTATCTATATTTTGTTTTGGCATGGAGAAGTGCTAACACAGGTACTGAATTCACTTACCATAAAAACATTGAGAACAGAACATTACACACAGGAAAGATTAAGATTACAGTCCCCAGATATCAACCTTAGGAGGTTTCATGCAGTTACAGAACAGCATAAAAAACTTCCGTTGACAGGCTTCAGCAAGTAACTGACATTGTTTCATAACCATACAAGAGAAAGCTTTTAATGTCACATACCGATTTCTTTTTAATGTCCTCCAGATCTTTGAGTTCATTCTCAATCTTTGTGATTAATTCCCTGAGTTCATCAAGATTAGTGCAAATAAGCTAAAAAAACAAATGAACACAAACACTTGGTGATGTGGGACTTGGAAAATGTACAGTGAAATTAAATAAGCTTTAAAAGCACATTATTACTTAGTGCCACCATTTGATTTTTATTTTCTTACAGTATTTTTAAACATTAAAAAAAAAAAAAAAAGAACCCACCAGGACTTGTTGAGAGGAAGAAAATCTAAGTAGAAAATACTGTAATTTTTCAAACATAAACCACATCTCTACCTGTAAGCTTCCATTTCAAAATGTAGGTATCTTCTTAAAACTTCTGTGAATGACAACTACCAAATTTGTCTCAAGTACAGTGATGACTTTACAACAGCTTTGAGTACCAAACAACTCCCTGGCAAAGTAAGTATACTAGCTTTGTAGTATACTGTATTTATAGCATATTACACTTGGTACGACTATTCTTGAACATAAATTTACATGCTTACATAGAGTATTCCATCCCTGGGTATGGATGCCTCCAATAAGGCATCTGGATCTGATGATGTAACCACATAGGGGTGACAGTGGCAGTGCTGGGTGGACAACTGGACTGGATGATCTTGAAGGTTTCTTCCAACATTGATGATTCTAAGGCAACCTAGTAATAGACCAGATCTACCTACTTAATGTATGTTTTGAAAAAGTATTATATTCTTCTAATTCTTGTCTTTAGACAAGAATTGTCTTTAGAAATCAGCTTTTTACATTTTTTTTTGCGTTCAGAAATGGATGTTCTTTTCTTGAAAAAATTGCCAAAATTGATCTGTGTATTTTGTCTAGCCATCATCTAGGGCAAGTTAGGACTTAGAAAACCAAAAATTATTAAGATGTTAGGTTCTTTTGGATTTATAGTCTTTATTAAGACTTGCTTCTTTTGAATGCCCTTAGGTAGACATGTTTTCCTTTACTGAAAACATGTTGCAATAACTTAAGAAAATGAAATTTAGACCACTCATACAAAACTCACCCTCACTAAAATGTTTTTATCAAACAACTATTAAGTATTTTCACAAATCAGTAATGTATAACAATATATTTTTACTTCAAATTCATGTGCAGTTTTAGATTTTCAGCAAATTAATATTAAAAAAGCTCCTTTTCTAGTAACTATTAAAACACTGAATTGACACTTAGCAAAATAAATTTCAGAAACCTCTAGTGCACACATGTCACTATTTTCATAACAGTGCACATTTGGAGCTTTGAGGAAACGGAGTGACTCAAATCAGAGTCTACAGTTTTCACATTTATCAAGTGTAGAATATCAAATTAATAAGGAAATTGGCAGTGTCTTGCACAGACCATCTATGCAAAATTTACTTGTGAAAGTTATCTCTCAACCCAGAGAGTTACTATGGGTATCTCTCTATTAGGTTCGAATTGCATGTCCTGCACTTTAAGGAGTCCCAAATACCTAAAATATAAACTGAAGCCAAATACTGGCTTTTTCTGGCCTGTGAAGAAATCTATTACACTGTATTATTAAGCAAAAAAGTACTTCACAAAGTACTTAATGGAAGTCAATAAAGGCATGGATAAAGGTTTTCCCTACACACTTGTAATCCATTTTTTGACTATACACCTGACAATTTGCTTTTTATTTTCTCCTATCAGACCAATCCAAACTACATCAATGGGAAAAAACAAAGCCAATAGTTTTATTGCCTTGGGGCTGAGGGTGACAGGCAAGAGTAATCAAGTCTCTAACAATTTTCATCAGATAAGATGTACATTTGAGGGTCATAACTGTGTGTCAGTTGCCTACTGGTAAAACAAGGAAAGTAATAGCAGCTGAGCTTGGAGGATTTACAGCCAAAATTAGTTTAGTATTTTAAATACTCTAATACTGTACTGAAAAGCACTATAAAAACGGTTCAAGAAAAAAGTTTGATTTTTTTCATTCACAGTACGATTTGAGATGAGGAAATAAAGATGCATACTGACTGGGAAAAAGTTAATTCTGAAACTTCGCTCATATGGTTAACATTCCCTATCTTAGAGAATGAAGCTAGCATTTTGAAGGTAGGATGAAAAGAACAGTAATGAAAATATATTTTGATATGGACTCTAGATGCTATTTCTCCCAATGATATTCATATTTCAGTGTTCTTTGCTCATGGTTGGTAATTGCTGGAATTCAGTGATTCAATTTTCTACAAACAACATTGCCTTCTAACCTGTTTTGTATGTTTTGATGAGTAAGTAAGTTAACATGAAGGCCAAAAAAATATTAATGTTACAATCTAATAATTTGTCACATTTTGATAGCTTACTGGTAGTTCTGAAGAACATGCCTTCTAATCACCTATCATGAGGAAAATAATCTGAAGTGAAAAAATGTTTCTGTATTGAATTATCTGAGACAGTAAAAGATTAGTCCCTATTCTCTAGAACACTCCATGGTGGCTTAAAGATCCAGGCTATAAACATTTACATCAACATAGTCTCATTAGAAGTGTACATGTTAACTGCAACAAAGACACCATCATATCCAGCACAGTACTTGCTACATAGGGACTTATTTTTCATAGGCAATAAGCATCCTGTTTTTCAATTGTATGCAGTGGAAGCTTCAGATATTCAGTAAGATTTCAAATTCAGTGTTCAACTTTCATGTTATGATGCAATCTCAGATCTCAAAGACCCTCATCAACTCCTAGGACTTCAAGGAAGAAAGACAAAAACAAAAATCTGCCCTCAACTTTTTAAAGGAAGACAGGGGGATCAAGCTCCATTCCAACTTGGGACTCTCCTATAATCAACTTATATATGAACTCTTTAACATCACGGAACCATATCTAATCTGTGGATCTACTGATAAATACAAACCTACTGTATTCCACCAGATCACTTATGCTCTTTCCTTGCCCCCTTAACTTCAGACAAACTTTTTGCAGAATTTTTCCTCTTTTCAACAAGGTGTCACACTTTATTACAAGTTATTTGTGTAATGCTGTTCTCAATAATTATATTTCCTATGAAGCTGATCTTTTATCACTGACATATACATGTGGAAGATGTCCAGATAGCCCCTTTCTGTGATCTGCATTTAATTTAGACTGTAGCTGATAAAACTGAAAATGTTAAAGACACACTGAAACAGAGCATGCATGTTCCTTTTCTTCTTAATCAACATACATGTAGGTCTATACAACTACATGTGAATGTACATGAGGTGAAATGAGAAAAGATTGAGTGAAGCACCAAACCTAAATGTACTCTGTAACTGGGAAAAAACCACAAAACACATTAGTGTCCCTTCTGTACAGCACTAAAATTACTGTTAATTTCTTTAAAATGTTAATGAGCAGCAGTAATAAGATTGGAACTCAGAATAATAAGCAAGAGACAATTAAATCATGATCTGTGAAGCTGTAAACTCACCTCTCCAGTAATTTTCAAAATATTAAAACCAGGACTTGGTTTTTGTGCATTTTTATTTGGTAAAAAGAATTTAATTTGCATCTGCTTTTGATTTGAGTTTATTTTGTCATTTGCAAGGTTTTTTTTAAAGCAGCTTTGAGCTATATATTGTAAAAATCACATTCTAGATGTTAGATTAAGTAGCACTATTACCTACTGAATTTTCATTAATAATTGATTTTAATTTCTGTCCCTGCACATATTAAAAGACTTATTAATACTAATTTACTCATCTTTAAAGCCAAGTCATGATTCTCAGAAGATCTATACTTAAGTACAGGACCTAATCTTATAAACTACCGTGCCTTCTGGTTGGGTTTGGGGTTTTTTTTACATTTGTAGGATGCAGGCATATGAAACATATTACTTCTTAATAAATTAAGTTTCACTCCAAAAGAACTGATGTGCAGACATGAATAGCAATATTCTTGTAGTTATACTCTCCCAGCATATCTCACAGGGCCTGTTAGCCCTAAGCCAATTTACCAAATATTTAAAAAATATACTTGTACCTTCAACCAGCTATATAATTTCATAGTTTGGCCATTCATGTATGTGGGGAAGTGTATATTGAAGCATACATTACTAGACTCCAAAGGTTTTAGTACTATTCCAAATATAAAAGGTTTATTATTTGCAAATTCTTCTAACAGTCATACCTTTTGAAAGAGTCGGGCTAAGTTGTTAAAGTTGTTGTTAAAAAACTCCCCAATAAGATTAAACTGCTCAATACTGATCAGTCCGAGCCTCACCTAAAACAGATACGAGTCCTGGCTTTGATCAAAAGAGCCAGAAGTATTTTGTTACATTTTAATATAAGGTTTTTACGGAAGAGAAATATACACTTAGACAGATATAAGTATGTTTTATCTGAAGCTAAAAGGTTGGGCTAGGTTTTAGACAGACAACTTGAATAGTTTAAGTTGTTCAATAATGTAAGAAACTATTTCTAAACCAACTGTATATATCCATGGTATGGAGATAATATGCTCGGAAAAAAAATAATTATGCATGTACCTACTTCTTGGAGCTGTTAGGAAACATTTTAGTCACCACCATTATAATATAGACAAAGTCAGTGTACACTTAAATAGCAGTCACCTCTCAACATTGACTGTTAGTACCCAATTTTAACACAATAAATTCTACTAGCTCCATCTGAAACGTGTGATCATGATGGGCTCAATCGATTCAGGGTGAGGGTATTACAAAATAGGCAATAAATTAGGGTAAATTTTGTAGGGTATCTACAAAATAGATAATTACAAAATCAATACAAAATTGCATTGATTCAATGCAAGCCTACTGGCCAAACTTGCTCAGATTGCTCTCTGAAGGAAAAAGATAGCCAAAGGAGGACTTCAATCCAAGCAGCTTTGCATACAGAGAGAGAGCAACTTAGAACTGATGTACTGTCACACTTCTACTACAGCACCATAAAACCATATTAGCATAATTAAAACTCTTTGCTTTCTAGAGCCTAAGAGGTCCTAGAAGCCAAGAAATCACATACTGATAAGGAATTACAGCTGCAAGCATGGAAAGCACAGTTATAAATTTTTTGCAAGTCCTTCAGTTAACCAAGCATATTTCAATTCAAGAACCACATTGTCACACCTCATATAAAACCAAGTAATTTTAATCCAAATAAATATATCTACCTTAAAAATGTCTTTAACAAGTCCTAGTTTTCACAGGTTTTATACTGTAACAAATGTATCTGGGATCATAAACAACATTGAAAATACTGTTCAAGCTGCACATGCTAAAAATGATAAAATATTTTCTACCAAGACAAGGTGAAATGTACTTTCAAAAGTATCAGCTTAAACCTTTAAAACTAGAAGATGCTTCAGTAAATATTTCCAAGATCTCTATCAGAAATAGAAGGACTTATTTCATAGATATTCAGATTTCAAGTGCTTAAAACAAAAATTAAAATAATTTACCTGAAATTCCGGTATGGTAGACTTTCTGACACCTTTCCTCTTCTTTGTGATTGCTTTTTTAGACAGCGATTTTTTTCCTTGTAAGATTAAAAGAGAAAAGCTTCATAATGCTGTTCATTGTACTTTATTAATAAAACTCAATTGCTACCAACTTGTAAGTTAAACTGCAACTAACAGATGGTTTTCAGCAAGTCATGTAAACATGATGAATCAGAACTAGACTCAGCAGAAGCAAACACTGAACAAGGATCTGTGTACTGCAGTTTTTTGTGTGGAGTGGAAGGAAAAAAAGAAAAAAACCTACTATAATTTCAATAATACAGTGCCTAAAAATGTAAGTCCTGTAAGTAACATTGCTACCACTCTTCTCCAAGAATTGAAATCCCGAACTTAAGACACAAACCTAAGAAACAGAGCATCTTACCTGCAAGATTTGTTTCTCTAACACTCTAAAGAGCTACACATTAGGATCTGGCATCTCTATATCTATTAGTAAAAAGATAACCTCAAAATACAAGCAGGGCCTAGAAATCCCTGACTGAACATACTGAATTTACCAAGGAAATTAGATTAATTTGTTTCTTCTGCTTGTGGCAATACCTAACATTTTTATAAAAAGGCAAGAAACTTCCTATAAAGCACTTCACATGCAGCTGTACTATACAGAAACAGAAGAAAAAAATCTCTGTGAAGGTAAGGCAAGTGCTTTACTGCCTACAGTACAGGAGTTTACAAGTCATATACATTTCTCAAATCTAGAGATGTCATCAAGCATTACAGCAAAGCTTCTTATATGATTATTTCTACATTCATGTGGCAAATTCAAACAAGATCACTTTTAACTTGTTCACTCAGGCCAAAATCATCACTCTAATATTATCACTTGTTCACATTCAGGAGTCCTAAACAATAATTAAAAACCTTAGACAAAAAGAGAGCTTGAAGAAAATAATCATCCAATGAGAAATTTGTTGTCAGCTAGATTGACTGCAGGCATTTGGCAATAGTGCAAGCACAGGCAGATTCAATATTTACTTTAATGAAAATACTGGCAAAAATTTCACTTCTTCCTAAAAGATGCTCTATGTGTGTGCATATGCATATGTACACATACATACAAATATTCATAGATGTCTAAGCATTTATATTTCCAGTTTATTACACTGTGAGTTTCCTGAACATGTTACCTGACTCTGAAACAAACCTACTTACAGGACAAGGTGCAGGGCTTGAAGAATCTAGATCTGAAGCTCCACATAAAATCAAGCTATATTAAAATCAATAAAGCAACCTAGAAACCACCCATACCAGCCATATTTAAAAATTTTAAATGCCCTCAATGACCAAAAAGAAATACATATTTCACATCAGAGAATATGTGATAAAACAGAGAAGCTTATTTATTAGAATAATAAACCAACATTCTGACAATGGGAAAAAAAGTCAGCATTTTTGTTACATACTTTATGAATACAGATGCATGCTACTACTGAAAACAATGCTGTTCATTGAATGAATTAAAGTAGATGCTTAAAAGCTTTCTTGACAAACTGACTCAAAAAGGAGTCTGGTCACATGTTGGCTCCTTGCTATAGCCCTTTTTAAAAATGTTATCTGACAACTAAATGAAACGACAGAAAATAAGGCAGCTAGATTGTCTTGCTTCTTTACAAAAAGGAAAATTTTAATATGTTTAAAACAGAATTTTCAGTTTACTAGAATACTTTCAATATTTTTTCAACAAGTATTTACTTGACTATTATCAGCATCCAGTGCTATATGATGTACGATGCAGTGTAATTCAAGAAGTAACAGTTAAACAGATATATTCTTTTTCTTTTCCCCAATATATCCTTATGAAAAGGAGGATGAAAATTTTTAGGAAGAGTTATAAATAATTAGAAACCCAAATAAAATAAACATTTCTTTCCACACATCAGCATCTGAAAAGCATGAAGTAGGAAAGATACAGAGTTACAGACAGACCAAGAATTAAAAGAAACCATCTAGAAGCACAAGAAAATGAGCCTTACTCATGAAACAGAGTCTCATATAAAGCATACCAGTTGGAATAGGTGTACCAAAAGGCCAACAAAATTCCGAGGCTGGTAACTGCCATGAGCTAAGTACATATCTGTCTAGAGCAGCATCGCAGTCTTTTTCCCGTTTTTTTGACAGCAGCTGTCCTATGGTGCAAGCATTTTTGATATAATGTATTAAAAACTAAAAAAAACTACAGATACTTGTACCATGGGAGAGAATTAATATATACAGCAAACTACTTAGGGCAAATTCATCTTCTACCTCAGTAACACCCTTTCAAAATACAAAATCGATATTAGAAGGAAGTTGTAGTGGTAGTACTGACAATTTCTCCCTTTTAAAAAAGATGGTATCTGTTTTTCCAAAAATCATTTATCAGTTTTAAACGATGGTAACAGAAACAAAGTCCTTCGCAATTGACAGTTATCTGTAATTCATATGTATTACATAAGTGAAATACATTTTTATGAAGTGTATAAAAATGCAGTTTTGTAATCCAGAGGTGTGATGGTTTTGTGGATTTCCACCCAGCACCCAGACTAGCAATTGTGCAATAAACTTAAGTATCTTTTCCATGTAATTGGTTTTAAACATCCAGAAACTAATGCTGTCTTGGGATATCAAAATCACCAGTGAGAGGCAACTTCTCAAATCACTCCACTAAGGTCTGCTAGAGATCTTTTGTCCATAATCCTGGATGAAGAAACTATCTCAAAGACTTATATTAACTCCTGAGCAGATGAAGTAATGTTTCTGACAGCAGTTAGATCACAGTGCATTTTAAATCATGGAGCACTGTGCCTTTCAGAGCATACTTATTGTACAAATACACTTAATTATTAACTAAAAGAGTCAATTAGAAAAAGCTTAGAACCTTAGTAGAACCTTAGTAAACCTTACTAGAACCTTATTAAATCCTTACTAGAAAAATACTTATGATTAAGAATCTCATATACATAATCTGCTTAGTTCATCTACTCAATTCAATACAGCCTGCTTCCTGCCCATATTTAAAGATATTCCAGTGTAAATTTACATCCACTAACAATTTACTGTGTCATAATTAGTAATTATGTCTCCACACAGCCTTTTCCAAAAGGCTTCACATCTCAGTTTGGCTTCAGCTCAGACTGGAAGAGACTATGAGGCATCTCACCCCCAAGAAGAATTCATAGGAAGTCAACATTTTATTAACCAAGAGCCCCTTAGCCAGCTCTGTGAAAATTCTTAGACACTAAATTTAAGTTCAGTAGGTCCAGGAGAAATCTGACTGCCATAAGTTTTCCTTTCAAGCCGAATTCTACGGATGCTGTCAGTGAATAAATACACAAGCAATTAACAAACACAACAGCTAGGACCTGAAGACTAATTATGAGCATCCAAAAAGCACACTGTGGAGATTAGATGCAACTAAAATATAAGCCACCTCAAGCTCGTGTTGCCATCTAAGGGTGAAGAAGGGGAAACAAAGAGATAATTCAGGTATCTTCTAGAAATATTTTTGGCATAAAAATGAGACTAATAAAACACTAAGCCCTAGAAATGTTCTTGACACTTGTAAATTTCTTCAGCAAGAAAAATACAACCTATTTCTAACCTTTTCTACATTGAGATCAATGTGATTTGAAAACAGAAACATTTTTACAGATCTGGTAAAACTTTTTATTATGAACTCTGGTATATTGAGTTCTTATGGCTTCTCCTTGATGAGCAAAAGCAAAGCTAATTCATGCTTCAAATTATAAAGTAACAACACATAGAAATTTTGAATAAAAACTTATTAATTATTTTTTATAAGACTGCAACTTTTTCTTGGATATGGAGCAGAGTCTTGTTATCCCAGATGGGGCAACAGATGTTTTTAATATCAAACACTAACTCAGTAGTATTTGTCATGGTAGAATACAGCTAAGTTAGCCCTGTCCAACTGCAAGAATTTCTGTTTATTCAGTACATTCTAGCAGCAATTGCAGTGCTCTCATATTAATTAACAGGCCCTGTACCTTTCTGTTAACAAATTTGTACGACACACTTCCTGTCTTTCAAAGATTTGGCAACTACTGTATATATCCTATTTCCTTTTAATCTCCTACTTTTCTATCTTGCTCCCAACAGCTCTTCTTTTAGCAGATATAACATGATACAATCTGGAAAATGAAGCATTATTATAGAGTTTTGAAGCTTCCATATTGACCCATCATACACTTTTATATGGTCAAATGATCTAAGTCAGTCTGAACAAGTGCATTAATATTCCTGATATACAGAACATCTGAAACCTTATAAAACCTCAGTGGTACATGCTTCTGAATACAGTGGCACAGAAGCTTTATGCATGGTTTACATTGTTGGAATACCTCACTTAATGTTTTCAAGGTGATCAACAGGCTGTTCTTTTATCTACAGGCGAGACAACACAACAAAGTTTTTATAACACTGAAGAGAAGAGTCTCCAGGAGACTTCTGTAGATTAAACTCCCAAGGACAGTAAACCAGGCACTACAAAATTGCTGCTTTTTAATTTTAATTTTTTTTTAAATGAAATTAATTTTATCATATTCAAGTAATGCTTGACTTCATGTACAAAATGCAATGGTACTCTAAAAAATAAAATATATAGTAAAATGGGCTTCAAGCAGGAAGACTACCATGAATTTTCCAGAGCATGAGTACACAGAATTTACATCCAAGTTTCTTGTAAAGTTGTGTGCTGTATTGATATTTTCTATACCAATTTGAATAAAAAGAGATTCAGTTTACACTTACTTCAAACTCTGATTCATGCACATCACAGTTATTTCAAGCAGCCTCTGGTCCCTTCTATTTTCTCAACCCTACAGATGTTCTGAATTTCATCCAATCCATGTTTCAAACATGCAATTATACGATTCTCATGCTCTTGCACTGTGCCTTGCACTTGAAGTTATCTAACTCCAGTAAGAAAATAACTTACAAAAGTCGATGCATAGCATGCAGCTCTTTATAGAACTGCTCTGACTCATTCCATTACATCCAGTACTACTCTGTCAATAATACTGACACAGAACACTGCCACAATAATAACCATCACCTTGTTTTAAAGACATAGATTCAATAAAGTGGTCACACCTTTTCATAAATTGAAAGAAAACTCTGTCACTATGGTAGAGGTCATAACATAGCTGTATTCTCCAGGAAGTTCTGTTCACAATATTTCTGTGAAGTTTTCAGATGGAAAAACTGCATGACCAGTCTATATTCACTATGGGTACCACTGCCACAGCAAGCCAGGAATATGCAAATCATCTCAATAGGATCACAAACTGTGACTCAGTTACATTTAGCTGCCTAAAAGAACCAATAGCAGGAAAAAAATAATTTTATTGGTTTTGAAAAAGTAATGAAAGGTCCTCACTTTAATATTCCTGATGTTCTCTTCTACTTACTGTACTGTTAAAGAACATTGTAAAGAATTATTATGGCTAGGATCAGACTTAAATCAGGTATTTTTGTAAATGATAAAGACAAGATTTATCAAATTACTTTTTCTGTTCTACATTGTAAGGGAACCTTTAAACAGAAGATTTAATTTCAGAGAATCTTTAAGAAATACTACTTAGCCTTAAACTTTAGGAACTACTTAACCTTAAACATTAAGAAACATTACAAAACAACAAGGTATTAGCACAAATTGAACCCAATGCTATCCATTTCAGCCTAGCAGCTACAGGACCACTGGACATTTTACAGGACCACTGGACATTTAACAAACATAGGAAGAAAAGCGCTTTCTTGCAATGCTGTGAAGTTATTGCAAAATTTTCTCCAGCAATGAAGAAGTAGTCAGATGGGAAATGCCTCAACGTAACATGACGTAAAGGACAACAGTTCCCCAAATGAGACTCCTTGTTTGCCATTTGGGCAGTTATTCAGTTTGATTTGTTTTAAGAAGACTGAAAACAGTGACACATTTGGAGAGCTAACAGTCACAAAGGAAAATGTAAATACATCAGTTTCCCTGAATACTACATATATGAACTTCAACTGCAACTCTTAAAGCTTCTTTTTAGATGTAGGCAGAGAAATATTTTGGAAAGAGGAATTTGGTATTTGAATAGCAAGACAGTTTTGGGGTTTTATGTACAAATACTTGTTCTCTTAGCTTTAAATTTTGATTTCTAGCTACATGCCCTGCCATCAGACCTTGGCTAGCTTCTTAACCTTCAGAAGATACTTTTTTGTCACCCAGATTCTTGGTTTTGGCTTTTGCTTTTCAGATGAAATCAAATCTTTATCTGTCAGTCTATACTGCTCTGAAAAGCAGCCTGTTACTTGAAAAAATATAATGTTTGAAGGAGTCTGATAAAATCTAGCACAGATAACTTAGCCCAGGACTCAAAAGGATTAAGTTTTTACCTTGCTTCATATGACATCAAAAATACTACAGCTACCTGAACAACTTGAACTGACTTAAGGTTTTTGTAACTTTACTGTTTGCAAATACCTTTGAAATTTTCCATTGATTTAACTGAAACCTGGATTGTGTATCACTTACCTGAAACACTTAACTAGATGCTGCCCAATTCTGTAATAAAAATGTCATCAGCATAAATTCTGATACCAGTGTACCCTGATTGTTAGACTGAGGCCCACAAAGCAGTATTCTTTGGTGACGTAAGACTGCACAGTTACATTATGAGTAAATTTGGATTCATCATCTCATGTAATTACTCTGTGCTTCTTCATAAGTTGGATAAGATAATATTACCAGAAAAGGGAGAAACACTTCCATAATTGTTATAATACAAGATACTATGAAACGCCTTCAAGTGACACTCTCTGATGCTAAGCAGGCAGTCACATTCATTCTCCTGAATATTTTTTGCAGCAAATTGACCCTTCCAATTAATTATGTTCTCTAAAGATACATTCTGCAAATGAATCACTGTTTAATCCACTCACATTTTATATGCTTGTGTTACTGGGTAGGTAATTTTTTCTCTAAGATTAATATCCAAATTGTCTAATGCAATAAGGTTCTCCTTTCTCACAAAATAAAATGTAGACTTATCAGCTAAGAAAACAACTATAAAAAAAAATAAATCTGTATCCTCCTAATTTTTCCTATAAATAAAAATGTCAACTTACCAGACTTGTGCTTCTTATGTTTTGCTTTCTTTTTAATTATAAATAACTTGTTCTGGATTTCAGATTTATATGATTTGAATGGATGAAGATGAATCTCACGCTTTCTTTGCAAGTCATCAAGTTTTCTCTGTAAATTTTCATTTAGAATATCTTTCAACTTCTTTTTTTTCTTTTTCTTCTTTTTTGCCAGCATCTTATTTAGTTTCTTATTATTTTGCATTAAGGTTTCTAGCACTGTTTCTTTAGCAGATTCATGGTAATTTCTGCCCTGGTTTTCATTATAAGTGCCATTGATATGCATTTGGCAAGCTTTCAGTGTGTTCTCCTTGAACGGACTCAGTTCAGATCTTACTCTGGTCATTTCAGTGCAACTTTGTCCATTCTCCACGTCTGTTATTTCTTCTGAACTAGGGTGAACACCTATATCAACAATCTCTCCTGAAGTAATCAAATTCCTGAAGTTCTCTTTATAACAACCAGGTTTTTTGAGGTCACAAACTCTTGAGGCTTTTATTTCGCAATCAATCTTCATCTCCTCTGTAGTGACTCTGAAGCTACCTAAACGTGTTCTTTTTTCTGGACAGATAACAATGTCTGTACTTCTTTCTCCTTCTGTCTTAGAATGACACAGCAGTTCTGTCCCAGCAGAACTGACCTCCCCATTGCTTTTGCTTCCATATTCATGTTTTACTCTTTCTGATTTAATACGTGGCACTTTTCTAACTTTGATGGGAAGAGACGGGAATTCAGGAGCCTGAAAAGGTTTTTGTTTGTAAATTCGAACATCTGCACCACAGAACTGTGGAAAGTGAACGTATGCATTTTCCAAGCAGTCATAACCAAGAATTACTTCTCTGCACTCATGGATAGGCTGACCTAGCACTGCATCCTGAACATCCTTTTGTGTTTCATACACAAAGTCACAGAGACCTTTTAGCAGCCATACTTTTTGGTAGAATGGTAGCTCATGAAATGGTTTTTCCTCCAAGGGATTAACTTCTCCAAGCACTTTGAAAAACTGGGGACACAATCCAAGTTTTTCTGCAGCACCATTAGGATTGTCAGTCTGCCCCACAACAGTATACCAGTGTTGCACTTTCTTTCTGAGTGCTGCTTCCCAAGTCCTGTAGGAGAATGTAGGCCTGCGATGCAATGTAGGCCTGCGATGAGGAGGACTTAACAAAGAAGTCATTATTTTCGATAAAAAAACATTGCACTGAGGCATCAGAAGACAACGTTCCAATTCATAGAATACTATTTCAGGTAAATTTAAAATCTGTTGTGCTAAACAAAGAAAATGACCAATAGCTGGAATCTCCCACATTGTCTCCATCCTTGTAGGTGCTGCTTGAGCTAAAAGTGATTTTTCCCATTCTTCTATTTCTTTCTGATTAGCTTCTTCTGCTTCCTTTCTTTCTTGATCTCTCTGCCTATTAAAAGAAATTACATGAAAATTCAGATATTGGGTGAAAAAAGAAATGAGAGAGGAAAAAAAAAATCAGGACTACACTATGTCAAACATACTTATCTTGAAGTTATAAAGAGCACAGTAAAACTGAAGTTTTACTTCAGTCTGTCCTACTTTGCAGTGCAAAACACATCAACCAAAATGGGAAATTATTGTAGGGGTTTTTTTTTTCTATAACCACTAGTTTAAAAAAGGGAGAAAGATAAGAAAAAAGCCTGGCATATGTACTTAATCAATAGTTTGAGTTGTTTAGATTTTCAGTTATTAAAAAATGTATTTCCTTCCTCAATCCTTTTTAATCAAAACTGAGTATTTACAAGAAACTATCCATATAAAAATCTCTGAAACAAATTCCACATAAATCTTGTTTTCAAATGGTTGCCCTGTGGCTCACATCACTAGCCTTGTACCTCCCTTCCTCAGCACACAAGTATACATGCCTAATTGCTAAGTGCTTCATTTACAAGCACAAGAGCCATTTTCCCTCACATCCCAAGGTATGTTACTAGTCAGTTTGCAATGGTGGTCAAAAAAGAAACAAGTATCAGGACACACAAAGAATGTGATGGAAAATAATACCAAAAATAAACTGTTATTAGATTAATTGGTTTGCCCTCACCTGAAAAAATGTATTCAGTTCTGGTCCCCCTATCTAAAAAACAGGATAGAGCAGAAATAACATACATTTGGAGAAAGAGGTTATCAGTAACCAGAGGCCTGTAAAAACTTCTGAGTTATCTGGGAGTCCACACAAAACACTAGCACAAGGAAACATAACAGCAGTATGTAAACCATTTTATGATAGACTGGGAACTTCTATTTGCTTTTATTTGTAAATTAATCATGAAATATAAGGGCAAGACATGCTAAAAAAAGAAATGCTTCCATTTCAGATAGTCAATTACATGTAGCTTACCATCTAAGATACAAGATATCTCAATTTATTTCCAAAGCAGAAAACTGGACATCTGCATGAATCACACAAATATCAAAAGTTACCAACAGAAGGAAATTTTCTTCAATGCTGCTGCACTAGTAAACTAACATTTTTGCCCAAAGGCACAACCAGATTACAAAAGACAGGAATAGGATACAGCTGTACTTACAGAAATTTTTTTTAGAGCTCATCCTAAGCTTCTTTTTTCTCTGAAGCGTCTATCACTAGTGAAAACTTATCACCTGCCTCTAACATAAATGGGACCTGCTACTGGAATTTTCACATCCTTATTTCCAAATTGGTAATCTCCAATATTATTTCTTCATAAACAAGTAGCAAATAAATGATATGTATCCATTGAGATCATCAATGCCTTCCAAATTCAGCAAAAGAGTAATGAAAAACTAAAATCTTTCTTTTGGTGACATGAAGCTGATAGTTGCTTCTAGCTTGAAGGGCATGTATTTCAAGCATGAACTATTGACTAGCTATCGTAACAATGCAATAAATGCAACAAAGTAGCTTTGTCCACACTTTAGTATCAGCACAGGAGAAACATGTCATGTGTATGCAAAATAACATAAAACACAGTAAGACTTTACTAAATACTTTATCTTCTATAATAAAATTAAATGTTCAGTGACTTGTTTTCATAATTTGAACAGAAATTCTTAATGCCACATATATGCATCCTTGTTATTTATATATCTAGTAAGTTCAGAAAGACAGACTTAAAACATAAAAGGTAAAAGCAAACAGGTCAGTAAATTCTTAACTTCAGTCTCCCAATGCATCATTAACTTAAGAATATAAAGGATGGAATATAAAGACAAAATCCCACTTTGCAGCACAAACTTCTAATAGCCATTCTTGGTGAATAAACCACTAAATTTGACAATACTACTTGCACATCTAAAGTGAGCGTTATTTTTATTCTGATTTATGTTCTATTTAAATATGCTAATATTGCATTGATATAATAAATAAAAACAATTAATGTCCAAGTGAGGCAGAGGAAGATATTATATTACACGAAAGTGGTCTCAAATATAAATTCCACAGCACTTTTGGATCCCATTCCCTCGTTCCTCCTAAATGTAAAACATACTTCCTAATAACCTCTTGCCTCCAAATGGTGTGAACTCTATTAAAATAGTATGGCAACAAGACTAAATAGTGAGTACATGGTGAGATGGAACATATGTAGAAACAAAACCATTTCAGTATTGTTTAATAAAAAAAAGCTGTAGGCAATCCAAAAATATCATCTTTGCAAGCAGTTTCAATGTTTTACCAAGTGAAAATTTAAATCAAGGTAGAATTATCAAAATAAACACAATACCCTAGATTCACCTCTGCCTAGATAAAATTACAATTATTTTATAATTTTTAAGAATGTTTTAAAAGGCTCTTTAAAAAGAAAACTGTAAGTTGCTTCATGTAAAAAGTTTGTCTTCTTTTTAAGCTGTTGTTTTATCACAATATCTGTTGTCATTCCATTCTCAGCAGACATTCAAGAAAAAATTGTAAATGATAGCACATTTTCATTTCATTCATTTCATTATTGAGGTCCTCCTGTTAGCATCTTTTTAAGGGCATAGCTTTTTTTCAAGAGGATAAAGGGAAGTAAAGAGGGAATAGGACACAGGACAAGGGAGCAGGGGTGAAGGAAGAGAGAAACCAGAGAGGGAGTTCAGAAGACATTTGATATTTTAGTGGCACAAATATCCTTATACTGAGAAATTCTCTGGACTTACATATTTAGCTTTCATGCTGACAGCAACTGTAAAATATCCTGTTGTTTCAAACTTCTATTTAAATTTACTAGAAATATGTTTGCATACATGTATTGGACTTACAGTAGTAACAAAACTATTCTAAGGTGAAGTTGATTTTTCTAGACTAACAACAGCCATATTCCAGAACATATCTGCAGCAGCTGTTTTGCTGCAGAATAAACCTAGTGATCTTTGCTTTTTTTTTTTTTTTTAGCAAAGTGTGATGAGAAGATTAGTGGATAAGAAGAGTGGCATCTGGCCTTAAAACTCAGCAAACATGATATGCAAGTAGAGATAACACCTAAAACAGAGTCCAGACATAACTCCTTGTTCTTATGATTTCCTCCCTTATTTAAGGCAGCAGACTCATATCACCAGCAAATTACTTCTTGCTTGCAACATTTCTTGGTGGGGAGAGGAGACAAAGACTAGATTTAATTTTGTTCTCCCAGTTACCATGTCTAGTGTAACCAAGTACAAGTCTAATAACATAAGAGTTGATTCACAGGTTAAAGGTCAGACACCAGAATTCTTAAAGACAAGACACAGAGAACTATTTTAATTCACAATAACTTGTTTCTACAAACTTTCTTTTAAAAAATAAAATGGAAAGTTTCATACAGATTAGCAATATTATATATTATTCTAAATTAAGCCAAGATTTAGTAGCTAGAACATACTAAATTTGGAGAAGCCCATATAACTTTATTTCTGCATCTCAAGTATCTTATATCTTATTATGACATACACTATATTTTTCCACTGGATCCAGTTAATTGCATGCTAATATCCTCAAAAAAAGCAAAATTGACTATATAAGCATACTTCATTCCACAATTTCCTTAATTAAATTACTAACTTGCAACTAGAATTCAATTCCTTAAATGTTTTAAGCAATATGTCATAAATTTATCCCAGGAACATGCTTTCAGAGATGAAAGATACAGAACTGCCTATGTAATTTTCAACAAACCAAAGCCACTTGATTCCCACTGAAATCAACCAGTTACCTGCCATTCACTGGTGGTTTTAAAAATTTCAGTAGCAATCTACCTTTATATTTCGGTATCTAACTAACTAGTCAATCATTTCCAATTACAGAATAATTGCACAACTATTTATTGTTAATTAATATATTAATTAATTGATTTGTTACTTACTTAACAAGTAAGCAAGCAGCTCAGTAGAAACTCATAGAAATGTAATTAATAATTTGAAGAAGATAGTCAATATTCTGGTAATTACAACAATTGAACAAAAGGAATGCTGACAAGCAAGACTGACAACAAACATAAATCAGATGTTCTCATATATGCACCTTGGCGGGCAGAAGTGCTTTTGCTGCTGTACAAGAAATTATTAGTTGCAAAATAGTGAAATCAACTTTGCAATGATATCTTTTAAGTTTTTATATGTCAAGTCTACCATCATGAATCTGTCACTTGGGGAAAGTTATAAAACATTACATAAATAAAAGTGAAATTGATCATGCAAGAAATGGATAAATTACAAGAAAAAGAGAACTCTCAACAAAGGATACCTGTATAACTAAAAGATTTGGTGTAGGATTTCCCTGAAGTTAACTACAGAAGAGAAGATAAAAAAGCCCATTTCAGAATGTTCTTCCAAAATATGCAGTTGAAAAAAAACCAAAATCAATTTCCAGGATTTTGTGGAAAATAAATAATCAAAAAGTATTTCAAGGATTTGATCTACTAATTTAATTTGTATTTTAGTTTTATTCCTATATAATATACCTGATTATATTTATTTATATGTTTTACTATTTTAAATTTAATTTTAATTTAATTCTCATCAGAAGATGCCTGTGTCTTATGAAAGTATCTAAATATCTAAAGCAAAGAATTACATATAAAATTGGACTTCAACAGGCAATTTCTTTAGATATGAGGATAAATTTTATAGAAAGGCCCTTGCATTTGCCATCTTACTATTCTGGGACTGAGAGCATGCAACTCTGAGACATTCTAAACAAAGATAATTTATGGCTACAAGCATAAATTACGACTACAAGCATACTAAGTCACTCACTAGATGGCGAGAAACTGAGCCCTTTTTTTATGTTCCTGGTAACTCATCCTAAAGTTGGGTGAAGAGCAAATGTTGCCAATCCAAACACAACTCATTTGGCAGCACTGTGCTCTCCAACTAAAATACCAAAGGCTGCAATCTTACATATTGTTTAGAAAGTATCTCTTCTGTGCCAACCTCAGTATATTAGATCTCTGAAGAAAATAAAAAAATTTAGCAGAAAAAACATTTTCTCTTCTTAATAACATAATATATACTTTAGCAATAAGCCAAAGTAAGTTGAGAAAATTGCAATACATTCTCAACTAAAAAGTGTTGAAATTGTGTGCATTTATATATTTGAAAATTTATATATACTGTAAAATATGATCTTCACTGGAAATACGCAACTAACTTTATAGGGCTTCCAACTTCCAAGCCTTTTTCATAAAAGTGCTTGGAAAACGTACTTTTGGGCCATTTTTGGTGAGCTGGGAAAGAATTGGTGCAGAGAGGTCCCACTTACTTTTAAAACATGGTGTGATTAAGAAATAATAGTGAGAGAAGATATCTGAAGCATGATTACTTGGAGAGGTTAATAGAGTCAAATATTAAACCACCTGTCTACTGACAGATTTTTATTACTTCTTAAGAAGTGGTACAGTTCAAAATTTTAGGGCATAAAGAGGCAAGATAGTTGTGGTGTTTTTGTGTTATTGTGGAACATTCTGTAGAATCAATCATCTTTTTCCCAGGATCTGGTACTTCTGAGTATATCCAGATACGTGGATTTAACAGTTAATTAACTACAGTTTTGCAGCAACGTACTTAAAACAGGTGAATGAATGCATAATTTTTATTTTGTTTGGCAAACTGTTTAACACTCTATCAATGAATTAAAATCCAATCAAAATGTTCTTTTTCTAACACTGTTACCAAGTTCTGAGTTCTGGAACAAGAGAATTTCACCAAAGAAACAATAACCCTAGTGATCTTTCCTTTTTTTTTTTTTTTTTGCAAAGTGTGATGAGAACATTAGTGGTAAGAACAAAGAAGGCAGTTCTACAGAAAAAAAAGTACTGTCTAACAGTTAAGTCAGCCATATAGCTTCAAATCTGCTGAAAATTAAGAATACGAGCAAAATTAAAAGCAAGCTATTTGCATATGGGGAAAAGTCTACAAAACTGTGAACTTTGAAAAAAGCTAGCAACATTTTGCTTTCTGAAGCAAATACTGTCTCACCACTGTGTGCCATTTTTAGACAAAATCACTCAAATTACTGTTAGAGTAAACAAACATATAAGCTTAATTTTCCTCAAAGTGACACATATTAACAGTAAACACTGCCTGGAAATATATAACTTAAATTTAAGAAGACCATAAAATCTCAGAGTTATTTACATATACAATCTAAAATTGTTACCTAACTGACAACCTGAAATGCCACATCAGTGAGGTAAAAGCAGTGGCACTGGCAGAGATAATTTGCTTCTGGCTATCAGTGAGAGAGGCAGTGACAAGATCATGGAATTAGACTGTAGTTAAGCATTCTGGTAGTTTGTCCAAGGATACATATGATAAACAACAATGCACTAGCAGAAAATCACTGTGGATGCTTTTAGTTAATATTAGAAGCTTTGCTACACTAAAATAAGAGCAGCTGTAATTTAATTTAAAACTTTAATGATGTCACCAATTTTTCAAGAAATGGGTACCAATTCTTTTGCTTTGTGGACGCAATGTATTGAACTCATAAACTTAAGACCACAAGAGCACCACAATGTTTATTAACCTAAAAAAAGCCGTAAGAAGCTAGCCCCTCTAGAAAACTAGGAAGACACAACTATTTAAAACTAAAACAAAAACGTTTTACTTATTACCTCTTTTCCTCTTTTGCTCTCAGTTGCTCCTCTTGTCTTAGAACCTGAACCATCACAGACTCAAACATGCCTGTTGACAAACCTACTAAATTGCGAGGTGTGGAACGACGTCTTGTAGAAATGCATCCTGTTGTTTTCTCCTCGTCCTGCCCATAGCATCCTCTAGATGTTACAGCTAATGATGTTTTCTCTCTTAAATGCCTAGAAGAAAAAAAGCAAGCCAGTTCACAACTATGAACTTCCATACCAGCGGCACCTCAATGCCTAGCCTATCAACCATGGATTGAGCTTATTTATTCAGAAAAAACTAGGTATTTTTTCACCTGCAATTTTTTCCACTTTGAAAATTCCTTTAAGAAATTTTAAACTTAAACCAATCACATTAATATGACCTATGTTTTCACACCAGTTAAAAACAGTGTATTTACCACAAGCTACCAAATATAATTTGGAGATGGAATTCTCTACCTTAATCCATATGTATTTGGAAAGAAAAAAACTTTCACAGGACCTAAGATAAGAAAATATCGTTTTTAGCAGAATCCTAAAAGTAGGGAGCTCGGTGGTGAGGGGAAAGGTGTATTAGTTAGTTTACTGGGGAAGCATATGTTAAACACTGGTTTTGTCCCAGTTAAAACTACAAAAACTGAAAGACAAAACACTACAAATTTGTCTGCAAAGTTACATTTCCTCTTACAGTGTTTCAAAATACTCCACTAAAACTAGTATGAGTTTTTCACCACCTGTAAAAAGATTTGAGGGGCAGAGGAGAAAAATCCCACCTCTATTCAAAAGGAACCTCCATTCTAAGGTAATTTTCTGTGGCTTGTAGCATCCAGGAATTATACAATATTGATTATACAGGAATTATATAATATTAATTGATTCCCTTGAATCGGTTGAAGGAGAGCATTGACTTAAACACTGCTGTGTAATGATGTAAGAACAATTGTTCCAAGAAGTAGCTCTTCAATTTCATGTTACAAATAAAATTATGTTAAACGTTCAACCAAATTTGTCTAATTAAAAATTGTAAAAGAACTTTGACATTTTCCATAATCCTCTATAATGAGAGTTCCAAGAAACTTTTACTAAGCTAGTGCACACAGACATCATGAAAAAATCTTTACAAATCTCTGAAGAGTTAATACAAGACAAACTTACTATACACTGAGGCAGGATTATCTTCACACAGTTCAGTATTTCCTAATATTTATCTGAGAAATACTGTGGATTGAATGGAAGAATGACAAGAGCAACTGAATTTATCTTTTAGTAAATACCTATACTGCTATTTGAAAACACAAAATCTTACAAGTTGCATTTCGTAATCTGCCAGCAGTAATTCTATTAAGCCAGGAATTTTGAGGGTTTTGTGAGTATCAGGTTTTACTCAAGCAAACCAGAAGCACTACATTCAGCTCCTTCTCTTCTACTACCAGACTGTCCCAAAACTGCTGTTTCACAGAAACAGTTTCAAATATACCGTTGCTACAGCAATTGAATTAATACAGTCACTCTGCCTTCAGGTGACTTCTGCACCACTCTCCTGAAGTGTTCTTCCTACACAAGCAACGTTCTTACCAGCTTATCAGTTCATTCTGTGAGTCACTAGCAAACTTAAAGCTGATGGACACACAGAGTTTTACATATTTTCCAATACTTCTTCCAATTCCTTCTTCACCTCCGTCCTTCACCAAAAACACCTCTTGGTTTTTACATGCAGAATACTATGTCATTCAGAAGACCAGTGGGCGTTTCACTGTAAGAAGCCACCATGGTTTTCTAATAATGACTAAACTATGCCTATGACAAGCTCACAAGAAAGCATGTACTTCAGTTGTGATTTAAATTATACAGCTCGAGAGCTTTCTATGTTTCAGCTGCTTTGGCTGGTAAGAAAGTTCCTGCCAGGAACTTAACATTTCAACTTACCGTGATTTCCATTTTGACCTTTAAGACTATAGTACGTTAAGCATTGTCTCTTATTTCATAATTATCAAAAAATACACCATTTCCAAGCAGGTAACTTCGGCTTAATATTTTATTTCTACGATTTTAAGAGCAGTAAAAATTTCACCGTTTGCTAAAACAACAATTTAAAAGAGCCAAATATTCACACAGAGTTCAGGCAGTTTCACGACAGAATAAAATAAAGAAAGAAGCATTTGACATCTTGTGTAAACAAGTGTCCCTCCATGTTCACAAAAGGCTTCTTTCAGAAGGAAAATCTTAGCCAGGAAATGCTGTGCTCTATTTGGCATTTTGAGGTTTGGAATTTGCAAAGCGTTTTGAATTAAGATTTGAATAGTTCCCAATAGGAAATGTTAATCTTCATGAAAGTATTGAAAGTTCCAGTATTCTTTCTCTTGTGGGGTTTTGTTCGATGCTTGTTTTCTTTTAACGGATTTTTTCCGTAAAGAAACACACCCTCCTGTTCTACTTTGTGTAAAGAACACGCGGAACGGCCCCAATAGCTCTCTACACCTACCGGGATAGTAGCGCCAACTTCTGTTCCAGCATCATCTCCAGCTTCTGGGCCTGTTTGGAGAGCCAGTGGTCTACACCGTGCAGCCGATAGCAAGTCTCCAGCATGAGCCTGAAGTCACACACGAAATCTGCTATCCCTGTATACTGCCCACTGGAAAATTTCTCTTCCATTTTCAATAACCATATTCCAGCTGGGAGCTGCTGCAAGGACTGGCTGCTCTTACGGCCCGAGAGGGAGCCAGCGCCTTCTTCCCCGAAAAATGCCTGATCCGCGAGGGGCTTCAGGAACGGCGCCGTCAGAGGCCGGTATTTCTCCAGCAGGAACTCGCGCAGGATGCGGTACCCCTGCTGCAGCTCGGGATTCAGGCTCTGCTGCCAGGCAGTCTTCCCTCCCTCATCATCTGTCTCCTTCTCGGGCTCCTCTATCCCACTCCGAAGGGCCGAGGGCCGATCCGCCGGGAGGTCTCCGCGGGACTCCATGTCTCCCGCCCCGGGCCCGTTCTCCGGCACCTGCCGGGGACTGCGGCGCTGCGCCTCGCCCGGCCGCCGGCAGGGAGGCACCGACTGGGCTGGCGCGCGGCCCCGCCCGCCCGGGGACCGCGCCCTCGCCCTCAGGGCCC